AATTCATATACAGGAAGTTGCAGTATTTGTAGGATACGACCGCTATGCTACTTCATACTTATGACAGTTAACATCCCACCCCCCGCCTCCTCCCCCCTATCGAGGATAGTTGCTCATTTGAGCGCATATTGTTTCATGGCCGGCGTGCGGGCCGTGACCTGCTGAACTTTCACCACCCAGGCTGGAAATTGGCATGGTAATTGCTCGTCCGCTTTGCTCAGCCTCCTCCTGCTAGTCTCATGTTCTTTACCTTGTTCAAATTTCTTCCGGGAAAACGATGTGCGCTTATTGTTTGATGGCCGGCGTGCGGTCCGTGACCTGCTGAACTTTCATCACACGCGCTGGGTTTAGATGTGATGATGGCTCGGCCACCTGGCTGCCTAATGCTGGCTTTAGACAACGCGTTGGCCTGTGCGTTTCCTGAGTGGCGACTTGGGAATTGGCCTCATTTTGCCGCAATGCTGCCACTTTTTCGGCCGCGTCTTAAGAGGCCTTCCAACTTATCCGACGTATTTGTTCTGTCCGCAACTGCACCAGACGTGGGCACGGTAGACCAATAACCGTAAATAGGGCGGAATCGATCAGCCCAGTTTACCTGCGTTTCGAAACAGCGCGTACCGATAATGGATTAGGCCTCTACATTTTCCACCGCCAAAGATTTGGCGACTGGGTTTGGGATTTAAGCTTGCGTGTCCATTTATAAACGACTACAAAAAACTTTTTGACCTAAGGGAGCCCAGTTCTCATCTTCCGTAGTCAGGAGCAGACTGGCAACGGGCAGTGGATATCTAGTGTTGAAAAGACTGTAACCACAGTCATTTTTGCAGCATTTGAAGTTCTACTTAGGGAGTTAGTTTAAACAGCTGTTCTGTGATGAGAAAATGATGTTTTTAACGTACTGGAGGGATAGTTGGCTTAGAATAGCAAGAAATATTATTTATTAACGAAAATTGATAGGAATCTTCGAGACGGAATCAACAAGAGCCAGTCGTACTGGTGTGGAAGACAAAGGTTTAGAAACTAAGTATGGTCAAGAGATCACTAAACTAAATAACAGATTGTCGAAAGTCATTCCGCGAATGTATAAGTTCTCCACTGCAGAAAGTTCTATCAAAAAACGTTTCTATTACGTCTATCCATCAGGTAAACAACCCGGAATCCGATAAATTACCCCACCGTTGAGTTTCCTTGAATTCTAGTGTTTGATTCTCCAACTCTTCTTCTGGAACAAGGTTCGCTGGATTGCACTATTTAGTGGAGCTTTCACCCCACGCCTTATGGTTTCCAGTCATCAAAACTTCGCCCTTCCAATAAAATACGTCAGAGTTGTGGGAATGGGGCTAGCTGCTAGCAAAATATACCTGGGATCAAAGGTTAACAGTTGCCTAAGGAAGTCGAGGGCCTCCGGTGAGACATTCTCCATGCCTTCACGATTTTCAAGGTCACTGGCAATTGTCTGAAGGTCATCTAGCCGCAGCTGGTCCTCCGGTTGACGGATTGTCGGGTGGCCTCCGGAAAGCCTGGTAGAGGGAAAAATACAATTTTGTGATTTTTTTCCCGTTTCCCCTACTAAGCACATTTGCAGTTTATTTGAGGCAGCATTAAAAATTTACGTCAACAACTCATTCAAATTCATCCTTAAAGTGCCAGCGAGACACTCCAAGTTCCAGCGTCAGTGGATACTTGCGGCAGCAGAGGTAGTAGCCATACGGTTATCCAACCCAACTCTGCTAATAGAGGTGAATATACGAGTTCCAGGAAGGAGTTCAGAAGAAGGAGATGCGACCACTGGAAGAAGAGCTTTATTGTCCTGACGTTTCGCATTCCATCGGGAATCTTTGAACATAGGTAGTGGTACAATTTTCTGAGTCATGCGCAAGTCCGCATCCTACACGGACAAGAAAATCGCGGCAATTAATGGGTCGAACACGAAGTGTCAAGTCATCACCGCACCAAATAAGACCCAAGCGGTGGCTACAAGAGTGGATAATCACAGTACCCACGCGGATGACAGCTACGAACTCTATATACCACGTAATCTGTGCATGTTTCACCCCTATCTGCGCAAGACTCAGAATATTGTACCATTACCTATGATTAAGGAGTCCCGAAGGAATCCGAAACGGCAGGACAATAAAACTCTTGTTCCAGTGGTCGCGTCTCCTTCTTTTCAACCCAACTCTGTGCTCGCATAAAGCGTTTATACAGGCTCTAGGGCTGCCCTGACCCACCTGGGCGTAACCCGAAAATTTAACAAGAAATTGCCTCCATTTACTGGCTCTTTTGCCATCATTGGTGGGTCACTCAACTTAAGTGCGGAGAACTAAACATTGCCTCATCTATGTACAATAGATCAAGGTACAATAGTCGCCGGCTATTAAGCCCACCTCGGGCCCAGACCGAATTGGGCTTAATA